AGAGAGAGAGAGAGAGAGAGAGAAAGAGAGAGAGACACCTTGCGAGGGTGTACGCGCGAGCAAGCTGGGCGGACAGCAGCGCGACCAAAGAGCAGCATCACCCCAATATATAATGCGACGTGCAACCTTCTTCCCCTTCGCCTTGGTGGTCGTTCCTTCGGAATAAAGCCGCGCGCTTGCTGCTGGGAACGGTTCCTTACCTGCAGGGCTATGACGTAATGGCAAGAGAGGTACGCATATCCTTCCGGCAGCTTCCTTCCTTTCTCGCGCGCATGCAGCATCCACCCCGCAAATCATCCCCGCACACAAGGAGGGAGCGAGGGAGGAGAGGAAAGGAGAGAATTCTCTCGTCTTCCTGCTTATTTGTATCGCGAACGAGAGAAATCGTCGCCTTCGTGGGAGTCTTCCCTTCGTGGAGAGGAGGACGCCTCTCGATGACCTATTTTCACGTGACCTCGTGACACCCGACGATCGGTCCTCGGCTTGCACCCCCTCTCCCCCGCCCCTCCCCCCAGAGTGCATCACCCTCTCGGCAAGGCCGAACGGCCGAAGGGACGAGCCCTTCAGCCCGCTCCTTCCTCCTCGATAGATGCGCGTTTCTCTCCATAAAGAGGTGGCTTGCGCGAATGGTCCACTTTTTCGCTCGTAGAATCGCACGGCCTCATTTCGCCTCTTTCGGGACATCTTCTCTGTGTGCCTACGAGATTGCCCTTTCTGAAACCACCCCGATTGCAGGATCTCTGTTTGCTCTTGTGGTATCCGCCTCGCGATTAATCCTTGCTATAACTACGAACGGCTGTCCTCGTAAGGATTTATTTCGCTTTATTGAATTATATCGCGTATGTAGTTAAATTCACCGTGATTCTCACGGATTCTATCAGTTAAAGATATTGAGGATTACGATTTCTTGATGTAATTCCTGAAATTTCTAATCCTCTCGCACCTAGCATCCATTGTGACGGATACGCTTTTTCTTCATTTGTAATATGGAAGCACATAGTTGTAGAGATACTCGCCGCTGTTGTCCTAGTTTGTGGATATGTTCCGAGTTATGATTCGAGTCGTTTATCACTATCCGCGATTTCTAAGGGGAATAATAAATAGAGTGGAACATGTTCGAACGTATCTCTTGATAAATAGAGAATCGGGGTCTAAAATATTTAAGATTTTCCTTGTTTGCGATCATTTTCTTTTGCTTTAGCATTTCAGGATTCTTTGTGCTAATTATTAACAATATTATCTATTATCTTTTCGTATGTATACATCTTTCTTAATAATAATTAATAATTATTTAAGATAATTTCTAAGGATCTTAAAAGCATTGATTAATATTTATCTTTGCATGTTTCTGGAAACTTTTACAATCTTTATTATTGTTTTTTTTAGCTCGCCAGTCTAGTAGGTTATTTTACACTGAATGATTAGAATATATCCTTTATTATAACTGTTATTAATAATTTTCTTCTATAAAACTACTTTAATAAAACTTTCTACAAGGCTTTTAGCGTTAGTAAAATCTTTTTTGTTATTTTATTTGTACAGATTCTTCCTCAACATTTTTTCCATTTGCAAAATCCTCTTTATTTAGTTTATTCCTCGGTAGAAATCAGTTCGTCGCTTTTACGTGTTCACAGAATCCTTGCATCCGTTTTGTCTACCGCTAGAAACTTTCTTTACGCTTTTCCCACTCATATAGACTCGTCCTCATTGCCTTCTTACAATACGCCCCACTACTCGCTCGCTAGATTCCGCTTCACCGATTTACAGGATCACGGAATCCTTGTATCATCATCAGTTGCTGGAATTTACTTGAAGTCCGCAAGAGATACAAATTTTAAATTCAATGCGCTTTTTGCAAATATTCTCTCTCGACCTGTTTATATTGAAAATTATACACGGAGCAGAGTCGCGAGAATGTTACTCTTTCGTTGCTGGAATGCTTTTCTCGCTCGTAGAACGCTCTGAACCTCATCGTATGTTCGTCGTTACTTTGCATGCTCACAAAATTCTTCTCGTCGTTCTGCACGTTCGCGGACTCTTCCATGCAAAATCCTTATCATTTGTCACGTTTCACAAAATTCCATACTTTTTGTTTCACTGATACAAACGTAGAAGCCTCCTTTCGTATTTACAATTTTATGCCAGATCTTCCGAAATGTTCTAAAAATGATTCTTCCGAATTTGCTGTTTGACTCTACTTATAATTAATTGTGAGATAAACAAATTCGGACAGACTAAATAATTAAATAAATAATATACAATTCTAAACTTCTGGTAAATAACTTTTATTTAAATTAAGAAAGAATTTGAAAAAATGCATTTCAGACTTTTGTTAAAGAACACCCGAGTTCGCAACTTCAAATGAAGAAATCTACATTTTTTGTAGAGTCCGTATAAATACAATCCTTTATATAAATAAATTAAAGAAAAAGTCTTTACATACATGCAAAATCGAATTGTTATGTTTCTTAAAAAAATATATTTAACACGAATAAATATTTAAAAGCAAATATCTAAGAACGTTTTGGTGCGGACGCATTGGAAAGGCGTCGCGTTGCGTCACAAAAGAGAGGTTCCGTTAAATATTTGTTTAGCGTTATTCTTGGCTCGTTGATTATTCCAAATTCTATGACTGTAGAGTCCTCCGAGTGTGTGACGGGTTTAAGTAAATCAAAAATTCGCGAAGTAGTCGACGGCGGCGGTTCTCGACGATACTTCGTTAAGGGATGCACCTGGGTACATTCACGTTGCAGCTGCAGGCGGTTCCCTATTTGCTCGTTAGCACGTTGCGATGTTGTTTACTAAGTTCCATCCACGGCGAGTTCGCGGATGCGGAGGGGTTATTACATGAGAGAGGTTGATACTCGTATTGCTAAGATAAACATTCAATTTTAGGCCTTTGGACTTTTAAATCTCAGAATTCTTGAATTCTCAAATGTTGGAAACGCGTTTTTATCCTCAAAGTTTGAATTCTTTTTGATTTTTGTTAAACTTTTTTGTATTCTTACATTTTATAAATTACATTTGTCTGGATATTATTATTATATTATTATATAATATAAACTTGTATGCCACTTAATTGTATTTCTTTATATTTTTATTTTTATGTGGAATCTTTCCTTTATTTTTAATATTAATTAGATCTCTAAAGCTTCGAATGTTTCAACAAATATATCAGATCGCTGGGTGAGAAGAAAAGCATAAAAACACTTAAAACGTTGTGCTTTAAATTTCGATACTTTCAATCTTGGAATATTCAGAGTGTTAAGGAACAAAACATTTAGAATATAAACTCGTCTATACAAAATAAAAATAAATGAAAATTTGTTTACGTCTGATTAAATCGAGCATTCATACATTCTTACTATGACGTTCATACTTAATAATCATAAATGTCTAACAAATATAATGATACATAGTATGGACAATGAATGACCGGTAAATCCGACTGTGCACAGAATAAATAAGCGATATTACAAGTAAAGACCGGTTAAACCAGGTCAGTGCTTTCGATCATAAACTGCGCACGCGTCCTGTACACCCTTAGCGCCACCCCGTTGAGGACTAAGGACAACCCCAAACATAATGCACCCCTTCAGCTCGCATTATTCCGAGATCGCTAGCGACGTCGTCGGGATGCAATCTCGCCGATCGAAGAGTGCAGATATATCCACAGTGCGAAGTACGTTAGAGTGCACGAAACGAGACAGGGGCGAATATTCGCGAAAGTAAATTGTGTGGATCGTAAATGCACCTCTAAAATAAACCGAGTAAATTAAAGTAAATTAACGAAATAATTCAACCCCCTCTTCTGATAAACATCTCAGAGTCTCCGAGTGGAAAGTTCGTGGAAAGATTACGTTGCTCGTAAGTGCCATTATTGCGTTCATGTTTTTAATATGAATGATTTTTACAATTTGATAAAAATTAGTTCCACGTTACTTGATGTATATGTAAATCTAACAAGAATACATATAATAGGAGCTTGCGCTGCGAACTTTGAACACTCGCGGAAATCGTGAATATTTGAATATTCAAATTTCTAGATTCAAGATCTCTGAGAGAAGGAGGATCTTAAAATGCGTGGGATTTCGGATGAATCTTTAAACCCTAAGTCTAGATCTGGAATCTTTAAACTCTCGAATTTCCCAAATTCAGTAATTGTATTAATCTAAACACTGATTATCATTTTTTCATCATTGATAAGCATTTTTACATTACTTTGTTGCTTTGATTGTTAGTCACAGTATGTTAGTGGGTGTAGGTTAACTTTTATAATCCTGTGTGTTCTACACTTTATATTATTTTTTTATTTAATTTTCATTTGTATCAGACTTGTGACAAATAAATAAATGTAAATATAAGATATAATTCTGTTTCGCAGCGTTATATTAAAAGTTCAAAAAATAGCGAAATATTTGATGGTTTCGTATATGAGATTTTATTTACCAGCCGTTCTGTATGGCCGCTATATATACGAAGCATGCTGGGAAATTATTTACTCCATTTAACATCTGGGCGACAAGCGTTTCCCGGGGTCAGCTCTTCAGGCCTTCACGCTTTTCTTGTCGCGAATTATTTTTAATTTATGTGTGAATCATTTCTTACTTACAAGATCTCTCTCTCTCTCTCTCTCTCTCTCTCTCTCTCTCTCTCTCTCTCTCTCTTTCTTTTTTTCTTATATATATATTACAAAGTAAGAAAAGTCTATTTTAATAATTTATCGTTTATGCACACATACATATATACACACACACATACGCGCGCGCGCATGAATATAAATTTTACAAATTCTAAAGGTGTACAATACTGCACAATATTACATTTTAAAAATTGTATACGAAAAACTGTATAAATTGCACTATAAAACTATAAGACTATAAAAACTGTATAAATTGCATATTTTAATTAATACCAACGCAAATCTGCTGTTTTACCCTTTTTTCTAATGTTCAATATCTTTATTTTTACAAAGCACTTTAAATGCCTACAAGCTTGCACGAGCTTCCGGAGAACATTTAAGGTCAATAATAAATTGCAAATGTCAACCATTTTTAACTTTACCGTGCGTTAAAGTGCAGTACACACCGGCATTTTTTTCACTGCACTAAAATTAATCGATGTCAGATGTCATGCCCTTTCTATCACATGAACATTTCTCTCTTTCTCTTTTGGTACTTAATTTTCACTTTAAATTGTTTAACATTTTTCTCGTAAATTCCTATTCCATTCTTGGTTCAAAAATAATAATTAATTCACTCGTATTTTAGTAATATACTTATTTTAATCGCTGTAAGTAATGTAATAGTAATGCTAATTACTCAATTTTTGCGCAGGAGTTACGGACCAAGAGACCTTTTAAGATATGGGACAGCTGGCGTAACGTAAGAAAAGGGCTGGTCGTTAGCAACTTCGAAGAGTTGATTGTCCGAGGTAAGAAATATCTAAATCTAAGTCTAACAAGTTATCGATAAATCAAAAGCAAAGGCAATTAAAAATCAAGTTGCGTTTATAACGCATCTTTGAAAGTTTTCTGTATCATCGTGAAAACAATCTGCACTTTGTTTAAAGCAACATTTCTAATATATCTAATTTAACAGAACATTTTTTAAATAGTAACTAATCCTTCTATTGCCTCCTGTTGCTAATTAGTAGTGGGCGTAGTGGCGTTGTTCGTAATTTACATTTTTTTCACGATACTCAAGTCATTGGATTACTCGTCACAAGGCATCGCTCTTTTCTCGTAGTACATTCTTCCGGAAAAGAAGGCTTTAAAAAATCTGAAAGACTTTGACGAAGATGATAGATTCTTTGCAAAAAACCAATGCGTGTTGCGCTCACACGATAATTCTGTGTAAGCGTCACGCATTGTCCCTTCCGGAGCACTCTCTTTCCACCTGTCCGGCCGACCGGCGAAGAAATATTTCCGGTCGGAAATATTTCCGCGCGGCGTATCGCAGCGCGGGAATTGCATTATCTGTAAAGTTCCTTTGAAAGTGTCGCTCTCGCAGCACACATTTCTCGCAACATTTCTCAGAAACAAAGCGCCTCGTTCGTTCGTTCGTTCGTTCGTTCGAGGACGCACCACCATTATTCGCAACAGCGCCATTCACACGATTACACAGTACATGGCGACACGTGGCACACGCATATGCACACTCACTTACACGGGAATATATATAACACACATCCAGGCACGCGCACGCACACGTCTACGCGCTGACGTTAAAAGCGTTATCACAGCCCTGTGAACGCTCTATCTGACACCCCAACCCTCGGCCAACCCTTGCTTTCAGGTAAGGAAAAGCTGGGCGTGCCACAAAACGAGAATGTCTCGCTAGTTTTGGAGTCGGACGGCACGCAAGTCGAGGACGGCGAGTACTTCAAGACACTAGGAAACAACACGATCCTGCTCCTGTTGCGGCATGGTGAACGCTGGTGCCCTACTGGCGTCGACATCATACGCGCTGGTAGGTAAAAGGGAGCACCTGCACACTAGCAGATCGATCTTAGAAGAAATCGGCAACTTGGTTGAAGAAGTTAAGGTTTTGAAGCAACATGGACAACAGAAAATTCCAAGAAATATCCGAGAGAAAACGAGAATGTCGAAAGAATTAAAAAGACTGGGACGATTAGGGTATCATTTAAAAGTACATCACACAATAAATTAGATCGATCGATTCACATTTCACAAGTAAATATTGAATTCTTACAGAGACCTTTAAATCAACCAAGTAGCTTTTCTTCTGTCTTTTCAAATGTCTCGACTTTTTAGATTTTTGAACCCACGAATATATAGCTTCTTTAGAGTCATACGCGCTGCTATGTAAAGGGGCTATTACAACGATCAACTTTGGTTGATGGAAATCAACAACTTGGTTGAGGAAACTAATCTCGAGGCAACTGATAAAATTGAAACTGATCAAACTGAATTACATGTGGATCAAACTGAATCCTTACACACACACAAGCCTTTAAACGATCAACCAAGTAGGTTTTCTTCTATTCTTAAATTCTCTTTAGATGTTTTGGATTTTTTAAAACGATCTTTATCACCCGAAAACCTCTTTAGACTTTTGAATTCGTAATAAGTTTTTTGGCTTCCTTATAAGATCTGTGGATCTCGGCACTCCTGAGATGGATCACCGGCACTGACTATCACGTCTTGCAGCACCGAACACCAAATCCGTATCCCCCCTTCCCTCTCCTCTTTTTCCTCGCAGCCGCGTCTAGCGATGACTGTATTCTCTCTTCCTCCTTCTCAGCAATTTCGGCAATCCCGAAAATAGTCTGCGAGACGATTCACGCGCTGGAGCTGCACGATGAGACGCCATCGTGGAAAATCATGGACAATAAAGGCCGAGTCACAGTGGTGCTGCACTGGGACCAGCGCTCGTCGTCGTCGTCGCAGGTGCAGCAGCAGCAGTCGAAGGCAGGCCCGGACGCCCAGACATCCAAGTATTCGCCGACTAAAAAAGCCGACCTGAGTGGCGCCCAACGGCCGTCTCTAGTGATCCAAACCAGCTTGGACAAGCTCGGCTATGACGGCAAGACAACACATTTGCCCGGCGAGATCGCCCCGACGCGGTACACCAGCCCGCGAATCACTGTGATAAATCATGACGATATGGTATATTCAATCTGCAGTTTTATCACTTTAAACTTTACTTTTTATTTTTAGATTTTAGTATTCAATCGTGCAAGTTGAATGCGCCTGTTGCAGACTACGATTAAAGGAATCAATGTGACAGTATTCTAATCCATTTTCTTAAAATTTTGAGAAAATTAATTCGTTCATGCTTTTAAGAAAATAGGTCAGTCTAACACGTTGCATTGAACTCTTTGCTCTCAACAATGATCAGATGTACTAATCTATGCGCTTTATCTATAGACTGCAGTCTCTTATCAGCTACAATTTTTTAAACTCTATCTCAATCAAATCGTTACATCACCTGAAGAGTTTCGCCATTATTCTCTATGTTAGTCCTTTAAAGTTTTTAAGAAAGTGAATTAGATCACCGTTACATTATCCAATTGTCCGATTTAAATTGTGTTATTTGTCTTATTTTTAAAATGTTGACGCATACCGAAATCAAATCACTTTCTATCACGCTGTAAGCTTATCTTCATCCTAACAGCAGCAGCCGATGCATTCGCACTTGCCGGGTCGTCTGGTGAAGCAAGGCACGAATTCATTCGACAGTACGACCATTCACATCCACACACCCGAGTGCTCCAACCACATTCACCAGCCGGTTGCGCGGAACGGCAGCCCGGTAAATGGCTCCGACGGCGGTGCCATCGGCGAGTGCGACTTCCACTGCTGCGCCCTGCACGAGGAGGGCCGCAGGATCGCCGTGCATAAATCGGTGGCGACATCGCCGATCCAGGACGCGCATGCGCAGTATCAACATCCACATCATCCGCATCAACAGCAGCAACAGCAGACACAGACGCAGACACCATCACCACAGCCGCCATCCTCCCTGTCGGACGGCACCAAGCGACCTGGTCTCAGCAAAGGTCACGTTCGCTTTCGCGACACCGCTGACGAGGAGTCAAGCTCGCGTCTGGCCGGTGCCGCTGGCTTCCACTTACATCATAATCATCATCATCATCATCAAGAGCACGATAGCTCCGAGTCCGAGACGGAGAATACAATAATGGAGGACGAAATAGTGACATCGGAGAAATTTTTGCTGCTGATCGATCAACTGACGGTCGACCAAAAGCACCACCTTAGCATCAAGGACATTGGCATCATACTGGAGCGACTCAGCTCCAAAATCCTCGACGTCGAGCGGCTGGATCGCGAGAGCGAGAGCGAGGAGTGCTACAATTGGACGATCAAGGCGATCATACGGGGCGATGTCCTGCGAGAGCTTGGTGTGATCTACAATGGAAATTATTACGCGATCTCAGAGCATCCCGGTTATAAAGAGGAGTCCGAAGAGAATAACGAGGATAACGAGGAGGAAGAGGAGGATAGACTTTAATATGATGCTGTTTTACTAGATAGATAGATAGATAGATTATACACCTATTCCTGGTTATTATTAAATTAGGACACGTTGTAAACGGAAATAAGAACGGGGATATCACGTGGTATCACCATTGAATCCGAGGATTTTTTGAAAATTGATTAAACCTGAACTTTCTGTGATTTTTTCTGAGAGTCTATAGCACTTCCTAGAATCTTCCTAGGATCTCTGTGATCCTTCAAGGATTCCCAGTGCGCTTGGGTTTTCTTAACGTTTTCTAGGAATTTTCTAAGATTAAGAGATACAGTCTCGTGCCAAATATATGAAAGTTCTACAGAATTAATTGACTAAGATTTGCAATTAGGATTTTTTAGATTAAGTCTTCTAGGACTTCTCAGGATACTCCTAGAATTTTTCAAGATTTCGGAATTCCCTCCTTAGTATTCCGTAGGATTTTTTTAGGAGATTCCCGATTATTGTTTTGTAAAATCTCAGGATTCTCTGTAAGATCTTGTGTGCGTTTAGAGTTTATAATACTAATCTTACAAGTTTCTAGGAGTGTCTAAAAAATTTTCAATTCTAGAAATGTCCAGAATATCTTTACTTTTAATTCAGGATATTTTTAGAAAAAATGTGGCTCTAAGTTTCTCGGGAGAAAGTTTCAAATTTTTATTGTTATAAATTCCTAGCTAGCTTTGAATTTGGGGAATCTAATTTTCTTGGATTGTAGTGTATTCGAAATTTGGGCTCCTGGATTTCTTATAAATTATGGCACCTTATAGATTTCAAATATCGTAAGATATCTTAGACTCTAAACACTATAATTCTAGGTGCCTTAGATTCCAGGTACCTTAAATCGAATAAACTTCAGATCTAAATGATCCCAGATATTTTGGACCTTAAACATTGTAAAAAAAAATTTTGTTTCTTAAATCCTAAAATCTATTCTTAGAGTTTGGGACTCGATATGAATTGTATTTTTTTTCTTCAATCCTGGCACATTTCTTATTTTTTAGGATTGTATATTAAATCATTTCTAAAACTACTATCTTAGAATTTGAGTAAAAAGAAGTTTTAGGATGTTATCAAGAGAAATCTTTGTTATTAAGATAAGAAAAAAGAGAAAAATTTAATTTACTATTGTTTTATTAGAAAAATTAATAAATATATACATATATAGATTATAATTAAAAAAATTCAGTGTGCCACTGTTGTTTAGTTTTATTTTTATACAATGTACTTTTATTTTTATACTTGTGAATATTAATCTTCGAATTGAGGAAATTTGGATAAATGTTTTCAAGTTTTTACGAAACATTGTGCCAAATCTTTTCATTCGTCATTATAATGACTTTGCATATCGGTGTTTTACAAGCAATCCAAAGATCGACAGCTTTTTCGAAGTTCACGAAATCCTCGGATCAAAGATGAGATCTATGATAAAGCGAAAAACGAGCGATGCGTGCGAATTACATCCGCGTCGCAAGGAGGCATCTAATTCGACAACAGAGGGTAGATTGACGAGGGTAGTATCGCTATTTCATCCAAATGTGTTTCTTAATAAGAAACAAAAAGAAAGAAAAGAAGAAAACAAAGCACCGTGCAGGGAATCGCACAGATAAAGAAATCATGTGTAATATGATATAATATACAACTTGCATCCAATTCGACAACAGAGGGTAGATTGACGAGGATAGTGTCGCTATTTCTTCCGAATGTGTTTCTTAATAAGAAACAAAAAGAAAGAAGAAAAGAAAACATGGAGGGGATCGCACGGATAAATGAATCATGTGTAATATGATATAATATACAACTTTATTAAAAACCTAGTTCTAAAGACGGTTGTTGAAATATGTACTTATTAAAACTAGCATGTATACTTGTAGGAAACATTTTTGGGATTACGGACGTCGATTCCGTAACCGTCCACAACACTGCCCTATCTAAAGAGACGAGTCAAAGTAAGAGGGAGAGAATGAGAGATAGACACAGAAAGAGAGAAAAAGAGGAAAGGGAATGAACTAAAAGGAGCATATGAATATATACAATGCATGCATAACAATTCTTCTCGACAAGACTCGGCTAAACTCGATAAAATAATTCTTTTCTTTTGTTTGCGATACGTCATTGGCTAATCCTTTATTGCAGATTTTAAGTGCAACTTTCGTAAGTTTTGCCAATCTTGATTAAAATTAATTTTTAATTCGTATCAATTTAATACTCTAAGATAATTAGATTGACGGATAAAATCCTGAAATAAACAGCTTTTTAAACTTTAATCGAATGTTAAACTCTTTATAAGTTGTAAATTAACATTTTCAAATTATAATTTTTCTTAATTTTAATTTCCTTTCATGAGCATTGAGGGAACATTTTGGAATTTGTTGGAAGATATCGGAAATTTAAAAAATTAGCACTCACAAATAATTTCAAAATAATTTGTAGCACAGCAAATAAATTTGTGACTTTGTCATTGCATTTTCAAAAAATGTATAAATGTTTTGCAATAAAGGATTAATGTATATTTTTAAAATAGCCGCGATCGAGGATGAAAATTTCGCGAAGGTGCAAAGTCGATCGTCGATAACGATCGATGATAGTGTCGAATGATAGTAGTCGAATGGCGAATGGATAACACGTGTGTGTATGGCGAACACTTGTATTAATCCATAGATCGCCATAGAATGCTCACTATCGATATTAAAATACAGATAAATGTATCGCGTGGCTGCCTTTAATTCATCGAACATCGCGGACGACTCGCAAACCGCGCGAAGATCGACGTCAGAGCTGACAAAGCCGATGACAAAGCCGACAAAGCGACGCGATAACAATGAGAGCGGGGGATGACGTTGTTTGTTTCTCGCCGACGTAAATTCTTTTTGTAGATTTGCGAAACATGTTCTCGTAGCCTAAGATCCTTGGATCTTCGGATTCTCCGATCTTCGATCACTTGGGCACTAGATTCCTCAGATTTGATTTTTTGACATAATTCAGATAACTAATTTCTTTTTTAAATAATATATAAATTAATCAATGGATTGTAGTTTTTTAGAATTTCAATTTTTTAATTCTCAATTCCTTAAATTTTTTTAAATTAATGATGAAATTTTTGAACATTGAAATATTTTTTACTTGCTTAGTGATTGAATTATTAATTCTTTCTTAATCCTTAATTCTTTATGTTAGTTATTAATTTTTCTCTAGTGGAATCTGGTACCCACTTCACTTATTTTAGCTCATTGCAGCTACGATTCTCGGACTGGATCCGCGAATGAAAGTCATTCATTCAAAGCACACAGACAGGCAGCATCGCTTAAAGCTCTCTACTTCTTCCTTATAATATAAAATCAATGCATTTATATATACACATATATGTGTGATTATATACATAATTTCATTTATAATATATACATAGTTAAACACACACACACACATATATATATACATATGTGATTACATACATAATTACGTATGTGTATATACGTGATTATATGTACTTTTTTATGTGCCATGATTAATAATAATTGTTTAAGAAAGATATTGCAAGTATTGAATTTTAACAAGATAATTTTTATATATTTTATTTTATTTTACTCTTTATCTAAATGAATAATAAAAAATATTAAAGAATTTATCTTTTTATATACTTACTATTAGACTCTATTTTTATATTTTGTTTAAGGAGCAATTATATAAATATCGAGATTTTTTTATGAGAGGGATAGAAGTTGAAAGTTTTGAACGATACTTCAAAAATACATATGCTTACATATGCACGCGTATAAATTACGTGTAACAGTATAAACATAGTCTGAATCATTCGGAATTTACGTTAGCGAATGTATTACATGATTATAAGTGATATATCGATACGTGTTGGGGATACGCTCTATGTGAAACTTTGCAATTTTAATATATTTCTATTGTAAGTATACTCGAAAAAGTGTGCGTGTATGTGTGTGTGTGTGTGTGTGTGCGTGTACGTGTGAGAGAGAAAGAGAGAGAAAGGAAGAGAGAAATTACGGCACACGACGCGCGGGAGTTATTCGATAGCGTATAGTATATATAAATATATACATATATATATATATATAGATATATACATATATTATATATAATAATACAGCGAACTGTCGTGAGGAAACCACTTTATACATATAACAGATCGTCACGGTTATGGCCGACTCGAGGAACCCTCGAAATCCATTATTTAAAGCGAATTTTGAGGCTAACTAAAAGAAAAAAAAAACAAGAACAAAAACCTCACAGATACCCACGTACAGAGGAAGCAGCTGAGCTCGTCATTCCGTTGGCGTTAAGATTTTCCATGTGTCTTATCTCATCTCGTACTTCGTTCGCGATCATCTTACCTTCGAGCGTGATGCGCTTAGATCGCAAAATTGTCGGAATCTAGGAATCCAGGATTTCGTTGGATTTATAATTTAAAGTCTCGCGTAGAGGATCTTCTCGGGCGTAGATCTTTTTACAATTTAAGATTTCACGAATCTCTTAAATCACTATAAGATCTTACAATTCCATGGATATCTCTGGCTAATGTGACCAGATTCTTTCGAATTCACAGCGGGACAATTTTAGGGAGAAGGGGGAGGGGAGCGATATTTCGCTTGTAGATCTACATAAAATAAACACTTTCTTTTTAACATTTTTAAACACAAATTATTTCTATTTTGCTATCTTTTTTATATGTACATCTGACTAACTGTTTCGAATATAACACATAAGCACAACTGACTACATGGCGCAAAATCGTATTTTGTTGTCGCGCATTTTTTGCTTCTTCGACACGCAACACTCAGAGAAACAAAGTCGACATGAAACCACAGCAGGCATTATTTAAATGTATTATATGGAAAGAACGATTTTGCTAAAATATCTACAAATTTCGTTAGATACAAAACTGAAGACAAATTTGTTGGACCATTATCAAAATAATGTAGAAAACTCAAGTATGAGCTAAACACTAAAAGGTTTTGATATTTTGGCAACCACACAGCATCCTACATAATCATTTTGACAGTTCAACAAAATTATTTTCAGATCTGTATCTAGCCAAAGTTTTAGATCAGCAAAATCGTTTTTCCCGCGTAAGTAAGCTTTATACCATTACAATTTGGCGAAATTTTTAAATGGATTTTCCAGCGGAAGCTTTTTGCTAAAATCGGGACATTTGACATGTTTGACGGGACAGCGAGACAATCATCTCGAAAGCGAGACGTCTGGTCACATTATCTCTGGCATTCCTAGATCGTTCGACCTCTGTTAATTCCTTAGACACATTGCATCCGTTAACTTTTCGGATTTTTGAGCCATCGAATTTCGATACATTTGGTTTTCAAGGGTCACATTTAAGATAATCAGAATAATGTGGTAAAGGAGGAAGAACGAAAAGGCAGTGAGAGAAGGAAAGGGAGGGAAACACATTGAGAATAAAATAATTTATAGATCTGTCGGAATGATCGAATTCTTTTTTTTGTTGTAAAAGAACGTATGCTTTTGCAATTGAAAGTTTGTGCTCCCGAGAACTATTTCACGAAAAAAAAATCCTTTACAGGTTTCTGGTCTCGTAGTGCCACTTTAAATAATAATGAAT